ATCATGCATTTTAGCCATGCCTCATTTCGCTCAATTTGACATTTTTTAGCTCTGTTTTAGCAAGGGCAGATTCAGTGAGAACAGCACCATCTACAGGCCTGGCATATGTACTACAGCGTCTCCAGCGCTTTCGAACGGCAATGGCCGTGGCTGTCTCCTCCTGATTGGTGGAGTTGGCCCAATAGCCGTAGCGCCACCGTCCTGACGTCAGGACAGTGTTCAAATCTGGATCAGTTTGTATCAGGTCCGTTGCAGCCCCTTTTTTAGAGATTTGGGTATGGAGGAAAATAGAGAGGGTTGTGTTTTCTGACACTTGGTGAGTTCCCTGGAACACCGGGGACACATATTCATGTATAAAAGACGTACAAAGGTGCATTTTGCATGATAGGTCCCCTTTAATAATAATAATAATAATAATGAATACATTAAATATTAAATATTTGTATGTTACGCTTAACTAATAATGTTCTTGTTTCGCATCCATACATAACAGACTTCAGATTTATATTCATCTTCATACATTTGTAAATAATCCTTTAAACTTTGCCACTAGCATGGAAAAGCAGCTGCAATTAGGGAACCTTTTGATAACTGTTCTTAGATATTATTATGGAGCTTTTATATCCCAGTGTTTCGAATTAAAGGCATTCTGTAATTAAGCATAATACTGGATGTACAGCCAACCTGTAATGGTAGACGTTCTTTTAAATGTGAGGTTTGTACGACTGCAGGATGTATTATAACTTCTTTCAAAGAAACATAATGTGCTTCTAAAATGATACATGTAGCTTCTGAATATATTGTAGGCGCAATTCAATTTCATATAATGGTCTTGTTTCTCCCGAAGCTGAAATGAAGGTCTCTGAACAAAGAAACACCGCTCGTCAGTCTCCATATTCAGGCACACTGAACTCTGTTTGGTTTGAATTATTTCACTCTTTTATAAAGCCTTGACGTTCTTTGATGTGAGAACAGAAACAGGACTCAGACCTCGAGAATAAACCTTTCGTTAATGCAATTTCTTGATGTTTAATTTCACAACATTACACTCTTTTACCCTGAGGGATTTCATGTGAAACTGACATTCAACTGAGCGTTTTATTTAACTTTATTATGGGTGAAAGTCAGTGAAATTCAGTTTGCTGCCAAAAAAACGTTGTAACCAATCTTGATGTTTGTGCAGTGAGGCTCACAGTGACAAGGTAGGAAGGTAAAGCCAAATTCAGAGATACTGTATCACCTGTTTACACACTCAGCCATCATTTTACAAGAATCATGAATTCTGTTTTGTTTCTAAGAAGTCACAGCCTTCATTTCAATGGCAGGAAGTATTTTAAACTCTACTTTATAAGTTTAAGTTTCATCACCTGTACCTGCTTTTGTAAGTGCGTTAAAGAGGACATATTATGCTGTGACATGTCTCCATGCTTTAAAGGTGGGGTAGGTAATTCACTTCAGAAACACTTTTTGTTATATTCCATGGAATGCTCTTAACATCCCGATAGCAATGAATACATTAAATGCTTTGACAATGAATACATTAAATGCTTTGACAATAAATACATTAAAAAAATTCATCTGTGGAAGCCGTAATACTGTAAAAAGCACGACCAATCATCTGAGCCGGCCCGGCTAAAATAACTGGATGTCCTACCTGCCTGTCAGCCTTCCATCTCGTGCACAAACTTATCTCGTGCCCTCATTGGTCATGTGCGCGTTCGTGTGTGTTGGAGGAGGGGCTCTGGTTTCTCCATTCTTACCTACCCTACCTTTAATGTTCAAAAAGCTCTGTATTTCTCTCATACTGCCAGCACCTCTTTTCACCCTCTGTCTGAAACCAGAGCCCAGTCTGCTCTGACTGGTTAGCTGGCCGGCTCTGTTGTGATCGGTCAACCGCGTAGAGATGTCCCGCCTCTTGGCCAATCACGTCCAATGTGTTGGCGCGCTAGCAAATATAATGTCCCAATGTTACGGAAGTAAACAAAGGTGTCCAATGGAGGCATTTTCATATCTTCACCATAAATACTGCACAAACCAATCAACATTTGAGCTTGACAGTATATTCTTGATGTTGTAGACATCATTTGACTAAACAATCTTAACACAAGGTCCACAGATTTGGACCTCAGGTATACATTGAAAAGTGAAAAGGCTGCCTTTTACAGTTAAGAGTCATTGGGGATCAGCGGTTAATACCAAAACTGGATGTTGTCTTGGTAAATTTGTCTGTGTGACTGTAAAGAGCTATTAAAGAAGTAAACAGTATCAGATGCAGATGTGGGCTGGATGTTAGAAACCATCATCCTCTGCTGTAACCCAGCGACAGGTACACACACTATTCATACACACACACATATAAGCCTTCTTTTCATATTCTCTTGTGTATCCCATGGAAAAGAAATGATGGCTTCAATCATACACGAGAGAAAGAAAGACAAAGGGATGGAGAAGGGAGGCGAGGAGGAAGGGATGAGAGAGACAGAGCATAAAAGATTCAAGAGAAAATAAGACAGAGGGCTCTGGAGAGGAGAGGGGAACGAGGCACAGAAAACAAACACTCTGCAGAGATGAGAAGACTGTAAATCAGAAAGACAGATGGTTGTGGAGAGGGACCAGCAGGCTAGCAAGTGCATATGTTGCTTGGATCCTGCTTTATGAATTTTAATGTGTATTTGCTCATTAACAAAGTTACCATATGACTCACGGATTGAGCGGTTTCCTCCGAGCAGCAGAGGAGTGTTTGGGGTCAGGCAGGCAATGAGGAGGGCTCTGATTGGACTTCTTTCGAGGCTTAAATAAAGTAAAGATGCAATATGTGTTCGTGAAATTAGAAACAGTATTTAATGGAGCTTTTTTCTTGGGGTATATCAGTGTTTTCACATCTCCAAACTGATGGGAACTTCAGTGTTACTGTCAGAATGATGACTCAGCGTGTATGCAGTTCATTTAAACCTGAATTAGGAAACACTGTTTTGTTTCTCACCTCCTTTGTTTTCCATTGTAGTCTTTGTTGATCGATACTGTGTCTTCAGAGATCAGCTCTGACATGTTTCCATCCTCATCCTGTGGAAGTGGATTGGATTTTTTTTAGTATGGCTCATAGCAATGACAAGTTTCACGTTTCAAATTGTCAACAGTAACGGGTTTTTCTCCAAAGGAGGGACTATTTCCTCAGTAGAAATAACTCCACTAAAGGGCAAGGACATTGTTTCTGGAAAAACGTTTTGCTTTCAAATGTTTTGATGCCATTTTCAATCGTGTGAGAACCACAAATGAAAATCCATTCAACCCTGTTGTGCTCATTATGTTTGTTCATATCTAAAAACCTGGTTAAATCAATAGGAACATATATGCTTACATACTGTAGATACCAGTGTTGCCAAAATAAACCCATCCTTTGTCACAGGTGTTAAAGGTCCCATGTCATGGCCATTTCTACTGATCATAATTCCATTGTTGAGGTCTACTAGAATAGATGTATATTGTGCAATTTTCCAAACTCACATTGGTTTCTCATACAGCATCTCTGTATAGTATGTGTATTCACTCTCTGTCCTAAACGGCTTGTTGGAGCTCCTGCCCCCCCCCCTCCCTGTGAGCCCAGTGTGCTCTGATTGGTCGGGACGTTGCGAGGCTCGCTGCTCAGTGAGCTGGCTTACTGGTGTGGTTTCCGGGTCGGCGGGACAGCGGGACAGCGCGAAACTCATCCTGAGCACACACAAACACTCACAGCCGAAGTAAAAACAATAAGTGTGGCTTGATATTGAGTAAGAAAAAGGTTTATAAACGCTGTGAGAATGGGTCTGCGGAGAGCATTTCTCCGCGATCCCAACTCGTCTATTACCAACCAGGGAGCTCTATGCAAGTCAATGGGACTCCCTGTTAGTTGAAAATGTACGCTAAAGGTCCTGGTGTGTGAGGAGCTCCGCGGATTGGTCCATTTTGGTTCCCGGAAGAAACAAATGGAAAATGAGAAATCTCCAACGAGGCGTTCTGGGGCAGCATAGACAGGTCTTTTCTGTGTTAGAGTTTTACTCGCTACAGGGTTTACTTTGAGGGTTTGTGACTCTGCAGACCGTTTACATGCAGAAAAAGCTACATAACACACAAGGGGACGGGTAATAACCAGAAAAGCATGACATGGGACCTTTAATATCTCAGGAGGAAGAGCAGGTTGGACGGTGTTTGCCTCAAAGTTCTGTGAAAATCTCAAAAACTAAAGGATTCGAACCTGAAAACAGAACCTTTCATTGTTATTCATAGATGTTCACATTTAATTAATTTCTACACTGAAATTTGACTGAGCCCTTTATATTACTATATCAGAGGTTATGTGAAAGTCAAGAAAATATACATGATGATTATATATAAGCTTATTTCTCGTCTACCAAAAAATGTGAGGTTTCTTTGGACAAAATATTTTTGTCAAATGACTGTCATTTATTACAAAATACAGAAGGTAAAGGACACCACGAGCAGTTTGAAAACATCACAACAATGATGACGTTGAGCCAGAAATGCTGCTGAACCACTCGCAAATGACTACTTTAAAAGAATGAATGTTCCTACATTCCTAGTTAATAACTACAATCACCAATTACAAATCAAGCTCACACACACATCATATCGTGCACGAATGTGTCAAGGGCTCGTTCAGCCAGTGTTACTGTGAGAAGGACTTGTTGACCTTCAGTCCATTCATACAGGATGTGAATCAGCTGTGTATAATAAAGCTTGGTGGAGCTTTCTACAGTGCTTATCCTGCTCTTAATAATGTTTGGTACGGTTTAAATCCTGCTTAATGAAGCCTGGAAGAGTGGAAGTAATCACGTCATTTTATAGCTTGCAGGTTCACGCATTCTCTGTGTTAATCACTGCAGATGGGTTCATTACCTGAGCTAACGAGCCAAAACTCCTTAATATGTGGTTAGATTTATTTATTAAGCGCAGCTGATTGTGTGTGTGTGTGTATATGTGTGTGTGTGTTTTTGTCTCCACAGGTTCATCCTGGTGTTTGGGTGTCTGGTTCTCTCTGTGTTTTCCACCATCCCTGCTCACCAGGAATTCTCTGCTCACTGCCTGCTCATCCTGGTAGGACGTACTCACACACAATCACAAACAAATTAATTATTTTGAATGTGTGGAGCTCAGTAATGAGTCTGCATAAGAGATGCTCATTTAGCATTTTCAGCACTATAGTCATATGTAATGATTGGTCCCTTGCCAATGAAGATGCTGTTACAATTCAATTAAAGTCATCAGTCTCTGCCTCAGATGTGATGAAGCAGAAAGACATCAGCAAAAGCAGGTGCGAAAACATAAACTTAGAGGAAGTAAACGTGAAGTAGGGGAGGAACAGACATCTACACACACATTATATAAGTAGAAGTTCACGATAGTTTACAGAAGTTGCGTAAACTTTCCTCTCCTCCAGTCGTACGTAGCCTTGCAGACAGTTTTTATTTCTCCAGGTTATAAAATATCCATCTCTGAAATTCTACTTCCACCCCGATAAAACTGAGGAAATCATTCCATCTATGGTGGTCAAAGCAAAAGAAAATTGTATTTTAAAAATTCAACATCTCGTTCAAAAGACAGTCTCGAAGTTATTGGATAAGCCACAGGATTCAGAGGCACTGTTTCTGAGCATGATGACTTCCCATCCTGCCTACTGGCTGCAGCTTCATGATTAACGGACAGACATGAGAGTGATTTCAACCTTTTCATGTGACTGTTTTATTGTGATTTATGTAGCTAGGTAGGCACGGGTTAGCCTTTCTCACAGCAGACATCTCAAACTGTCATAGCAGGAAAAGCACAGGTGTGACTAATAACAGAAACAATAGGTCTGTTTCTCTGAAGTGTTGCAGTACGTCAGGCCAGTGAGCAGCATGCGTAACGGAAGGGCCTGGAACTGGCACACGCTAATGGAATAAAGCCATTATTAATAATACAAATTAGTCCTGTGCTTTTCCTGCCAGGAAATGTGAACATGTTAAACAAAAAGACTATAAATGACTTTACAACACAGTCATCATTATAATCTGTTTTATTGCAGAACAGGTTTTCACACAAAATGAATTAGCTTTTATCATATTGTTGCATTAAAAGATACAATATATAAAAAAGCAATAATATAGTTCCTAATGAAGGTAAGTAAGTACTTTTTTTCACATTTACTACAAATTGACCTTTTCAGAATATTGAGACTAAACGTGTTTTCTGTTTCATTAGAAAAGCTAACGGTAACCAACTATAGAATCCTTGACCCCTTGATACGTCTGTCTTTTCCGCTGGTGCTTTAAAGGTTTAAATATGTGTGTTTTCTGCTTGTGTGTGTCCTGCAGGAGTTTGTGATGATTGTAGTGTTTGGTCTGGAGTACATCATCAGGATATGGAGTGCCGGATGCTGCTGCCGCTACCGAGGCTGGCAGGGACGCCTCCGCTTCGCCAGGAAACCCTTCTGTGTCATAGGTAGGTGTGTGTGTGTGTGTGTGTGTGTGTGTGTGTGATGTGGTGTGTGTGTGTGTGTGTGTGTGTGTGTGTGTGTGTGTGTGTGTGTGTGTGTGTGTGTGTGTGTGTGGGTGTGTGTGTGTGTGTGTGTGTGTGTGTGTGTGTGTGTGTGGTGTGTGTGTGTGGGTGTGTGTGTGTGTGTGTGGATAGGCTAAGGGGCGGGAAATCTCTAAGCAGTTGACCAATCACAACAGAGATGGCCAGCTAACCAATCAGAGCACCCAATCTGGTTTCAGACAGAGGGTGAAAAGTGAAGTGACTGTTTATTTTGTATATATGGATTGTTGTGCTTTTATGTATGTCCTTAATGTGTGCATAGTAGAAATGTGTCTGTTGATTGTGTGTGTATATAGGTATATACATATTTGTATATATATTTGTATACATATTGTATTTTTGTATTGTGGGAAACGGTATTTCGATCTCTCTGTCCTGTACACACAAACTGGAAGATTGACAATAAAGTTGACTTTGACTTTGAAGAGGTGATGCAGCACAGGCGGTATGAGAAAATAAAGAGCTTTTTGAACCTAATACAAAATGAACCTGAAAGTTAGCGTACTATGTCCTCTATAATAGATAATTATCCGGTACTGATGCTATTGTCTAATACACATTATCGCTGTTCTTGAGTGATCCTCTTCAGTGTCCAGTAAATGTAACGAGTATGAAAAGAGAAGAAAAAAAAACATCCATTTGTCGTCCAGTGGCTCTCGATCCTTCTGAAGTTGCTCCAGCAGGGAGGAGAAGAGCCTGCTGGGAAATAAAAGAGAACAAATGGTGCATTCAAGTGTCTTCGACAGAATGACAGAAGAAGACTGATAGAGACTTGTAGTGAATCAATAGTTGTTTTAAAGGTGATTGATGGATGTAGAAAGTAAGTGAGTCAACCACAGTTCCTGCTACTAATATTGTTTACTCTGTGACCTTTATTTCGTCTTCTACACCTCAGACATCATCGTACTCATCGCCTCGGTTGCTGTGGTTTCGGCCGGTAGTCAGGGCAACATCGTTGCCACCTCTGCGCTGCGAAGCCTGCGTTTCCTGCAGATCCTGCGCATGGTGCGCATGGACCGGAGGGGGGGCACCTGGAAGCTGCTGGGGTCTGTAGTTTTATTGCACATAGTAAGGTAGGGTCATAACAATAGCTTCTTTTCTTCTGAACCTCTATTTTTATGGTTCAGTTATTATAAAATCTGTTAATAAGGCCTTGGATTATTGCATCAATTCCCTTGTATTTTTGACTTGTTTTTATTAACCTAGAAGCACTTTCATTCTTTATTAATCCTGGGTAGGCCTATATTACTACTCATGCTAATTATCCAGTTTTGATAATGTTGCACACAGAGTTTTAGCAAGTATTATACAATTTTAAGGGGACCTACAGTATCAGCAAAATGCACTTTTTGATGTCTTTTATACATAAATATGTGTCCCCAGTGTGTCAGGGAACTCATGCAGCGTCAGAAAATAAAACCCTCTCTCTTTTCGTCCGTACCCAAATCTTTAAAAACGGGGCTACAACGGAGCTGATCCAGATTTGCGTCCGATATGACGTAATATCGGAAATGTAGGCTGGCTTTACACCCACGGCCCTATCAGAAACGTTGCTATCAGAAACAATGCCCGACTGTTTTAGACGTAATATGGTCGGTGTTTACATTAGCATCGCTAACACTCAGAGCTAACCTGTACTGGAGAGCATGTGTGTGAAGAAGCAGGAAATAAAAAGGAACTCACCTTGTGGTATCACTTTGTGGTATAACATCAATTTTTTTTTTTTAAAGCTTTATACACAAAATCAGCACTTTTGAAACAGGGGCAGTGAATAGAGGGATATGTGGCATGGCTAGAATGGGTGATCTGTTTGGTGTTTTGAGCAAAACACTTCATAGACATGTTTTTTATATATTCTTATATATCTGAGACCTATGCTATTGCCTAAAAATAGCATGATAGGTGACCTTTAACATGTATCTATATATTGAAGCAATAACTGAGTGATATTTACAGACAGGTGTTTGCCAGGACTGTTTTAGACACCAAATGTAATTAATTCAGTTTAGTTCAACTGTAAAAAAATACACTTGTTTTATGTCAAAAGAGAATGAAAAACGAAATATTCAATTGGATTGAATTCAAGATTAAAGTATCCAATATAAGACTTCTCTTTCTATCTGAGCAAAGTGCTGTAAAAGCCTTTAATAAATATAATGTTTTTCTGTGTCTAATAGGAGCTGGTGACTGCCTGGTACATTGGGTTCCTGGTGTTAATCTTCTCCTCGTTCTTGGTCTATCTGGTGGAGAAAGAATTCAACCAAGAGTTTGCCACGTACGCCGACGCTCTGTGGTGGGGAACGGTGAGCACACACATGGTTTAATACGCTGCCAACACATCAACATATACAATACATGTTTTTAAACCTGGATACATTTTGTTTGACATGACAGCCGATATAGCTGACATCTAGAAAATGTACTTTGACAAGCAAAAAAAGTTTTGTTGTAAAAATGTTTACTTACCAGACCACAATGAGCATCTCTCTGTCACAGCCAAAAAGAAATGGCGTTGCCTGGTTACAGGGGGTGGTTCCACTTACCCACTGGCTCAACATACCCCCTTCTCCCCTACATGGCATGAACGTAGACCTTTATCCATTGTGTACGAGAATTGTAATCAATCTCTCCCTTTTAGTTCCTTGCAAAAGAAAAATAAACAAAACTGAAATCTGACTGATTCATTTCTATTCACAGTTTCTGTTTGACCTTAATGAAACATGCATTGCAGAAACCACCAGGAACGGCTTGTTGTGTCGCACACGGCTGGCCGTAATGCTCTATTTCCCGCTACATCTGAAACCCACTCAACCTTCATAAAACACACACACAAGAAATGGCCCAATCAATGAATTCAATTTTCTCCTGAATGACACTCAGACGCACAGTGTACCCACGTTCGGGGGTCCGGGACCATCTTTCTCTCTCTGGGTGACAGTAAAAGCTGTTATATCATTCTGGCTGAAAGATTAAGTTTTGTCAGATACTGTATGAGTCAACGCAAGAGCTGACACAAAGAGAAAACTAAGAGCCATTACCACTGGGCAGCCTCCATGGAAATATGCACTTACCATCATTTTCTATAAACTGATTATATATGCCCTTTTCTTTAGTGCATCTTTTCTTATACACACAGTCTTTAATGCCACACAGTGCAACATTCAACTCAGTTATATCACATTTGAATAAATATGCTTGTTTAGAAATGGGTTTTCATTCAATCCAGCACCAACAACAACCTTGTTATCTGTTTTAATTCTATTGTGCAATGGTTAGCAAAACCTTTTGAATGAACACAAGGCTTTGTAAGATTACAGATGTCTTCTTCATACATTTGCAATTTTTCCTTATTACCTCTAAAGTCAAGCATTTTCTACCATGAACTGCAGCAAAACACCAGCTTATGCTCTCAAAAATGTCCATGGAAAATCTAGGAAATAATCCCAAAAGGACAAAAAGCACACCTACTTTATCAATGCTTCTGTTTGCACGTCATAAAGTAATGCACCACTGCAGTTGTAAGTGATGAAGCAGACTGATGATGATTCATAAGTTCCAAAAATCACAATTTTATGCTCATTATTAATTATTCAGAGTCTTTTGTATAGTGAGTAATGAGTGAGCGAGCGTGGTCAGGTTTCAGACAAAGCCCTGATTACCTTTTCTGCTGACCTCTGACCCTTCAGATCACCCTGACAACCATCGGCTACGGTGACAAGACCCCGCAGACGTGGACGGGACGGTTGTTATCCGCCGGGTTTGCTCTGCTGGGGATTTCCTTCTTCGCTCTGCCAGCTGTGAGTCAAACACCACAGTACACACATTATTAAGCCGTGACTGAAGACATTTATTCTATTTCCACATCCCACAGAAAGTGCGTCAGCCGTTTAATCAAATGTTGTCGTGGCCAAATGGTGATTCCACCACATCCATGTTAGTCATGTGAAGCCTTGGGCTAAAAGTAGTTTTCAAATTGACTTACATAGGGAAAGACACATCTATAAATCAGCGTATTTCTATTAGGTAAATCCACTTTCCTGGACGAACCTTGTTATTTAAATCATTAGGGTTTAAAAGTGTGTGCTCTAATAGCTCATTTCACTGAGCCCAGACAAGACAAGATCATTTTTTCATTGTATTTGTAATTGTTCATTCTCTATTACCACTTTTTAAAGTATTGTATTATAAAGTCTGAACACACTTCTGCTTCTGTGATGAAAGAATTTCCCAAATTGGGATCATAAAATATCTATCTATCTATCTATCTATCTATCTATCTAATCTATCTATCTATCTATCTATCTATCTATCTATCTATCTATCTATCTATCTATCGATCTATCTGTATCTATCATACAGTAATCTATCTATCTACAGTAGTATCTATCTATCTATCTATCATCTATCTATCTATCTATCTTCTAGCTATCTATCTATCTATCTATCTATCTATCTATCTATCTATCTATCTACTGTATCTATCTACAGTATCTACTATCGACTGTATCTAATCTACAGTAATCTATCTATCGACAGTATCAATCTATCTATCTATCTATCTATCTATCTATCTATCTATCTATCTATCATCTATCTATCTATCTACAGTATCTACATGCTACAAGTATCTAATCCTATCTTCTATCTATCTACTATCTATCTATCTATCTATCATATATCTATCTATCTATCTATCTATCTATCTATCTATCTATCTATCTATCTATCCTCTTATCTACTGATCATCTACATTAAATCTATCTATCTACAGTAGCTAGTCCATCTATCTATCTATCTACGTCTCTATCTACGTATCTAGCTATCTACTGTAATCTATCTACAGTATCTTATCTATTAACGTATCAATCTAACTATCTACTATCTATTATCTATTCTATCGTATCTATCTATCTATCTATCTATCTATCTATCTATCTATCTACAGTCTACTATCTATCTATCTATCTATCTCTCTATCTATCTATCTATCTAGCTATCTATCTCTCTATCTACTGT